ATTCAAAATGACAACTTTTTCACAAAAAATTGAATTTTTCAACTTAACTTTTAAAAGTGTTCCGGAAAGTCTGACACTTTTATATATATCTTAAATTAAAGCTAATGTAATCTACTTTATTATGTAAAAAAAAAATTTCGGACTTTATTTTGTCTTCACGGTGAAAATGGCTACCAAATGCTATTATTATGTGAAAATTCTCAATTTTATTTTTTACATTTTTAACTTTATAATGCTATAACTTATTGAAAAGTGTATTGATCAATACAATTTTTTTATGAGAAATAATATTTTTTAATAATCTCTTTTTCATTCGACATACTTTATCTTAATCAGGATATTAATAAGGAACTAGCAGATCATGTAGCTTTTGAAATAATCCACCAATTTTTTAAAATTAAACACTATCTAAAGATTTGCATCGAAGCGTTTTATTTTGATAGTGATTTTAATCACTATCGGATATCATTATACTTGATCCAACTATGCCACGTCACCACTGTGTCGAGATCCCCCTGTGCTGGGTTTTTAACTTTATAATGCTATAACTTATTGAAAAGTGTATTGAACAATACAATTTTTTTATGAGAAATAATATTTTTTAATAATCTCTTTTTCATTCGACATACTTTATCTTAATCAGGATATTAATAAGGAATATGTAGCTCATGTAAAAATTATCATTTCATTGTAGGTTTAACTACAATGAAGTGATAATAATACTTATAAGAATTAATTATTTAAAAGGTTGGGTTTCATATCAATATTTGATTGCAATAATATTTCCAAAAAATTTATGTCTTAATTTAAAAAAATTTTCCACATAATTCATTTGCTTTCATGTAAAATATAATGCGACTATTCTTATCACAATTAATTTATTTTTAAAACAATTTTATAATAAATCAACAGTTTAAAATTTAATACCATTATAGCTACAATATTACACATATAATAAAAAATTCATATATTAAACCTATTTTAATTTTAACTTGCTTTACAAAGGTTTTATTATACAGGGTGTTCAGTAAGTAAGGAAACAGGTCAATTGTTACAAACAATAAGAACAATATATACCCGTATCCTTATCTACTGAACTTTTAAATAATAATAAAATAAAAAAATAAATTTTGACTATTTTCTTATTATATATTACACTATAGATAATAAATATTCAAATAAAAATATGTATAAAAATTAAAAAACCTCAGCATAGTGGGGTCTCGGCTCAATATCTAATCCACTAAATATATGATACGATCACATTTGCATGTGCCCATATCTCTGTCTCCCATAACATCATTATACCGTTTAATAGACACACATATATATATATAATTAACAAAATGACATACAACAATACTAACAGGAGAGCGGACTGTACTCATAAACACTTTTGCAATTCACGGCCAATGTGCCATAATGAGATATGCCTATCGACAGTTGACCTTTTACTATCATCGCGATCACTACTTTTATCTTATAATTAACTTAACATTTCTACCACGTATATAGTATGTGTGTGTGTGTGTCGCTGTCAACTCCCTGTTGGATTATATCATCTCTAGGTGTCCAGCAGGTTGTATTATCTATTTAATATTTCAATTGCTTGATAAATATTCATTTATATCGTTGTTAACCAAAAGTGTTATATATATATATATTGTAATGCGACCCTTGGTAGTTCCTCTAAGGGAATATAAATTAAATAGGAAACTTCAGTACCTAAAGTAGATATAGCCTAGCCAGCTATCACTCGTTGGTCCCTTAGAATACTGTCGACGGGAATTTAGGCTCAACCCCTAAATAGCGACGTAACAAAAGTAAATGCATTGTGACGTTCACCGGCTTCTAGCCGTAAGGCTTTCTGTAATGAATCAAAAAAAGAAAATAATATTTGTTGTAATTGAAAAGGGGAGTATTACTTGTATTAATTTAGAGAATACTTTGAAAGTTACCCTAAAGAAATAAATTAAATAGAATATGACGGGATTTGGGTGCTTATTTGAGCCATTACTTTATTGTATTAATAATATTATTACTCGGGGTATGAGTACGAAGGTCTGTAAGAAAGTTAGAAGATGATAGAAAAATAAAGTGATCTTTGTTTTATTAATATGGGATTTATTATAATTAATTATTAATTCTCAAATATCAATAATGCCACGAGTTTTGTCGGTTATCGATGATAGGTGGGATTGAGTCACCTCGTATGTCTACCCAGAGTGGTATTGTGACTATACATATGAACCTCCAATCTAACTCCTGAAATAGACACGTATCAACGATATAACTCTGCCAGGAAACTCTGTACAAACATTATCGATTTATTAAATTTACTTGGTATAATTATTATTATTGATAATCACTTGATTTTCCTGTATGCCTACTTAATCTATGTACTCATAGAATTTAATTCTAAACCTTATTTATTTTTGGTGAATTTATTAGATTCCTACTTTAATTTTTCTGTGACACTCTTAAATAAAAAGATGTTGTATTTTTTGAACAAATATAATTGTGAAGACGGCGGATCACTTCTTGCTTTTATTTCGTTGTGTGGAATGATCGAGCGTAGCGAGTGCTTCTATAAATATCTGACTGCATCTGTCTCAGAATGCTCTTTATTTTTGACTTTTTATATTACATTTGATCGTTGTTCAAAGGAAAGAAGTGATCACCGACGCCAACATTATTTCTTTATTAATCGTAATTTATAACACATTGTTTATTAGTTTATTTCTAACTCATTATTATTACATATTGTTCATTATTTCCTGTTTCTTTTATATAATTAATATGTGCTTTTTTCTACGAAATTTCATTAGTATATTTAAACATTTAAAAGGTATATATATATATATATATTTATCTTATTTTTATTGGTATACATATCATTTTGTGTTATTGATTAATTGAAGTCTTAAATAATACATTATGCCATTAATGATATACTGTGTATATCATGACATAAGTCTTGAAGTTTTTTGTTTTTTTTTTTTAAATTGTTGCTAAATTTCTAATGCTAATTTTCAATAAATAGTTATAATAAATTATCTATTTAACCCATCAACGCCTGGCGTCCCCATATGGTGACATTCGTATTGCTATTTTTATCGCGCGTTTTATACCTGAATAATTTAATAGGTAAAAGCCGAGTGTACCCATATGGTGACACTCAATATCTCAGAAATCGTATTTTCAAAAAATTTAAAAATAATTTTTTTTTATTTTTGTGTTGTATATTAATCTGTTTTTAGTAAAAAAAATAGAAAGTTTGAAAAAAAATAATTCTCGGCGTTGATGGGTTAACTAAAAATATAGCAATAACATTATTTTTGGATTTTTGTTAAATTGCGAAACCACATGTTTTTTGCATATTTGTTTAATTATTCTACTTAACTAAAAATATAGAAGTAAATAATTTATTTTATATGTCATGTTTCTTATTTAGCTCTCTGCTGTATTAAAAGCTACATGATTTTTAATGCAACCCAAGATATGAGAAAATAGTCGTCACTCCTAGTATTCAAAAAATTTTCCGATACATTTACCTTAAATTAAAATTATATAATATAGAATATTAAAAAAAAAAATTACTTCTGGACTTGTTTTTGTGCTTAAAACGATTATCAAATTTATAATCAAAAAATTTAGTCAGAAAAAATTTAATAATGATCAAAATAGCTGATAGTGGATCTTATAAAAATATTTTAGTAAGGGTAGTAGCAAAAAGTCGTAGGTTTGAAGGTATCATGTCAGAAAAACATATCATAAAGCATTTTTTTAAGGGACTACCAGATTAAATAATTAATACATTTCATATATATTATATACATTTCATTAGATGTATCCACTTGAAAAAAGGGGAAATTATGAAAGAAATATATTTGGACTATATTGGACTACTTTTTTGAACTTAAATTTTGAAAATGTGCCAGAACAATTGCATTTTTCTAACCAACCACCTTACTAAATCTTTTAAAACTTACTACAATATTAGACAAATAATTTTGACTGTTCTACTATGAGAAATCAGCCTTCAAAGTATAGGGTTTAACTTGAATGTTTATCTCATGACAGCACTATTGATGATGATATAAGATAAAACATGAAATCAAAAAACATGCAGGAAAAAAAATTTCAGTTAAACATTTTGGAGCACTAGAAAACCAATTTACAATTGCATTAACTATGGCTAAACAAAATATTTGTTAAACAAATACTATTATTGTAATTTTATACTTTTAAAGAAATTTTTCAACTTCAAAAAGAAGTTTTAATGTGTATTTACGTGAAGTTCACTAATCACCCCCTGCTCTCAGAAAAAAATTAGAGTGTCAGGACTGCTTTCATAATATCATTATTTGTATAAAAATTTAACTTTTGTAAAATTTTTATTTGTTTACTTCTAATTATATGAGTAATTTTTCGTTGTTAATAACACGGCTCAATTCATTAAATATTCATGATTAATTATTCTATTTTTCAAAGCAGTGAAGTTGTTTTTTTACATATTATATTTAAATATATTGATGATTTCTTTGTGATATTGGTAATTGTATACAGAAGCACTTTTCAGTTTATTTTTTCAAGTTATTCGTCAAACATACACAATTGTTTATTACAAATGATGAAATAACTTTAGTTATTTGTTATTTAAAACAGATGTTTTGTTTTTTCATTATAACTTTTCGGTAAAAAAATTAAACATTTAAAATTTTTATTTCGTTAAGTTAAATAACAACTTATTTATTGCAATTATAAGAGCTATTTCTATAAACTCAACATTATTAGTGCTATTTGCATCTTAATAATTTTTTACTTATGTTATTTTCATGAAATTTTCTAAAAACGTAAAACTATATTGATATACTAATCATAAGATTTGATAAAAAATTCAATAATAAATTAATTAAAAGAAGAAATTTTTTGTATATTTTTAATTTTACATTTCTATGAACAATACAAATTTTTAAATAGTAAAATAGTTATAATACATTTTTCGTGAGCGAACATTAAAGTTATTTCCCTATAATATTCGAGTAAAGTAAGAATACAGTAAGATTAGTATATTATTAATTGAATAATTTATTTTTAGATTTAACTTTGTGCACGCTCGTTGTTATCGGTTGCTTTGATTGTACAATCGCTATTATTAGTAATATTTTAATTTCTATTTTCTACTGCGACCTTTAAAATAATATGTGTATTGTGTTTTTTTTTTATTATATTTAATTTGACAATTTTTTATATTTATGACTGGAGGTATTATATTTAAAGCCGCACCCCCACCGCCAGCATCCACGAATCACCACTGGGTATTTTCGGTCAAATTACTAAAAACACGTTGAGTGACCAGTAAAATTTTTTTTAAAAATCTCAAATCTTTACAAATTAACTATTTTAATGTATAAAATAAAGTTAAAATGGTTCTCATTAAAATTTCGTAGATCAGATTTTTTTGATCCACCCTTGTCTCTATTGGTTGATACACCAACTTTATCATAAAGTAAACTAAATAATTTTAATCAATACAAATTTTCATCAACATACTCTTAAAATAATAATAATTTGGTTTTTACATTATATATATTTTATTAGTACAATTATTTAGACCCTATACTACTGACCACAATACAACAACTTTATGTTTATACTCAACTTCACACATGTTTTTATAATAACTGTATACTTCAATGAACAGTAATAATATTCTTTGGTAGTTAGCGTATAACTGGTCTGATATCTAACACAAATTATTTAAATATTTAATTCATAAAACGTTTGAAGTCATGAATCATCTACATTACATTATTAAATACTTGTTGTATGACAATAATATGATTATAATGGTGTAATTAAAATTAAAAAAAAAAAAATAACACGTACATTTTTTCGAATAAAGAAACCATTTAAATGCATTTCGTAAATAGAAATTGCTTAATATACTTTTAAATTGTTAAGCACAAACCCACTTAGTGTGCATCAATCAATGCACTGAAGCATCATTTACTGACTAGGGTGTGTTCGATTTAGAGTTTAAATAAAAGTATTGAAGTATGATATACGAATTTTAGAATTATGCATACAAAAAATAATAATAAAGAAATAAATTACAATTATAAACTTACTTATGACATTGCACTTATTTTGTCTTGAAGACAATAAAAATGTGATAAATCTATTAAATTAATTTTTTTAACCAAGTATTATTACGTTGATTTGATAAAATTATTGCATAAATTAAAATAGACTAGAATTGTATTGTTTAAAGAAACTTTTTAAAGTTATTAAAATATGTTTTAAAAGAGAACTTTGTCAAAAATTTGATCAGATTTGTTTTAAAATTCTAGTATATAAAAAAAGAAAAATCATAAACTCATGACAGTTTTTAAAATAATTTGTATTAACTTAATTAATTTAGTATAAATTCAATAGAATTTTAGCTTCGATGCAAAACTGAGAAAGTATTGGTTTTACTAAGATGTGTTTTTTTTTGTCTCTATTACCACTTTTTCTCAGCTCTCACCGAACCGATTTCTTTCAATGATACATCAAAAGATCACAAATCGTATCTAATCGAAGACATTACCCTCAAAAATTGAAAAAAATTCCCTCGTTCCCCGTAAATGGGGGAAACCTCCAAAAAAATTACAAATTTAAAAATTGCTAATTTTCGAAATTTTTTCAATTTTTTTTACTTAAAATTGCTATAACTTTTTTAAAAATAACGGAATCAATATAATATTTTTTTATATAGATGCATGATATTATTACCTTTCATTTGGTAACCATACCCTTTACTTGCTCACAGGGGGGGATTTAAAATGACAACTTTTTCACAAAAAATTAATTTTTTCAACTTTATTTTTGAAAATGTTCCGGAAGGTCTGACACTTTTATATATATCTTAAATTAAAGTTAATGTAATATACTTTATCATGAAAAAAAAAATTTGATCTTTGAACTTGTCTTCATGGTGAAAATGGCTACCAAATGCTATTTTTGTGTGAAAATTCTCGATTTTATGTTTTACATTTTTATCTTTATAATAATGCTATGACTTATTGAAAAGTGTATGGATCAACACAATTTTTTTATGAGAAATAATATTTTTTAATAATCCCTTTTTCATTCGACATACTTTATCTTAATTAGGATATTAATAATGAACTAGCAGATCATGTAGCTTTTGGAATAATCCACCAATTTTTTAAAATTAAACACTATCTAAAGATTTGCATCGAAGCGTTTTTTTTTTTGATAGTCATTTTAATCACTGTCAGATATCATTATACTTGATCCACCTATGCCACGCCACCACTAAGCCGCGACCCCCCTGTGTTAGGTTTTTATTTTTATAACATTTCTACCAAGTTTTAAATTGAATTGGTAGAAATAATACAGTTAATTGCCATTAAGATAAACTTTCTATAGTAATAATTATTATTCAACTGATTCTATAAAAATAACAACAATTGTATCTTTGGTTTACTACGATGAAAAAATAGGACAAGTAGACTGACACGAAAAAAATTACATGATGATAATTTTTAGAATACAATATATATAATATTAACTCGTTCATAAAGTAATAATCACGAAAATATCAGTAGTTGAATTATAAGTCACAATGTTTGTATCATTAAAAGTCATAGTAATACATTTTATACAATTATAATAATAATGTTATTCAAAGATAATAACCAATTATTTTGATGATTAACATAAATATTACATGTTTTTAGTATCCATATAATTCTACAGTATTATATTACAACATTTTTCTAGTACCAACTATGCATTTTTCAAAAATATCTACTTCAGCTTTTGATGGTGCCTCATTTCGATGTACTATTTCATATTAGTAAAATTTGTTTACCAAAAATGATTTTTTTAACTGATACCAGTATAAGTCGAAATGACTGCCACGCGCAGAATTGTTCGTTTGACAAGGAGATGACGCACTGCCCATTAGCGAAGAAGCACTTGCACAAGCTGTCGAGTTAGCTTAAAACTTAAGTTTTAAAAATGTTCCGGAAATACTACTATCTTTTAACATATGTCAAAATAAAACTTATTTTACGTACTATAAATTAAAAAATAAAATTTCTTCGACGTCTTATCTTCTACGTGCAAACGGCTGCCGTACATAAATTATTATTATTAGATAAACTATATCATAAATATAATAAAGTCTTATTTGCTTGTGTTACGAAGTTCGAACCCCCTTCATCAAACTATTTTTCTTCACAATATGTCTTAATTATTTTTTGAGGCGAAAAAAAATTTAAAGAGTTTTATCTCTTTTAAATTGAATAACTTCAATAAAAATTAAGTATTCTATTAATAGGAGTATATAATTCGTTCTTATATGAATTATACAGTAAAATCATATCAATAAAATAACAAATTTTTTCATGATCATAGACCAATATATACTTTACTAATCCAAATTTTTTTGCCGATTTTAAGCCTGAAATTAAATTAATTCTATCACCTCTTTTTTGAGATTATTACTGATTAGAAACACATAAAAAAAAAAAATGTTTATCAAGTTATTATTGATTATAATCAATAATAACATGTGGGTGCGGCACAGTGGTGACGTGGCATAGTTGGATCGAGTATAATGATATCTGACAGTGATTAAAATCACTATCATAAAAAACGCTTCGATGCAAATCATTAGATAGCGTTTAATTTTAAAAAATTGGTGGATTATTCCAAAAGCAACATCAACTCTTATTTCTTTAATTATATCCTGATTAGTAGTTCTTTGATTTTAAAATATAATATATGAATAAATACTAATTATAATTATTAAATTTATTATGAAATTGATATTCAATAATTTAATACTGTAATTTATACGCAGAAATTAAGATAAAATATGCCGAATGAAAAATGGATATAAATATTATTTCTCATAAAAACATTGTGTTGATCCATATACTTTTCAATAAGTTATAGCCAGGCGCGGACTGGGACCAATTTTCTTACCGGGAAACCAAGTTAAAGGGGCCCATAGGCACTTTCCAGGGCCGCGGCAAAGCTCCTGGGAGCCCACCCGATTTTTTGTGCTGGTTGAGCAAAAAAAAAAAAGTCTTTAATAAAATTTAGGCCAAAAATGGTGACTTAAGTAGTGTATTTTTTAGGCAATATTTTGATTAAATAGTCTAGCATCAGTATTAATGAAATTCTTTATTTTTGTTTAAAATCTTTACCATAAATTTTAAGTTAAAATAATATATATTTTTTAAGTTATACGTATTAATGTCTCCCTTTGCGCTATAAATGCTATAAACAAACTTTTAACTTAATGGCTGATTTAATCTTAATAAATTAGTTATATCTTAGACAACAATAATTCGCCAATAGTTTGAATTACATTTGTTACAGACTTGTGACTTAAAAAAGTAAACAAATTTCCTCTACCAGATTTACCTCTTTTCAACTTCTTTTCACTTTCAACTATTGCCTTAGTAATATGATCACTTAATTCTACATTCGACTTTGCTATCAATAATACTATTTCCAAAAAATTCCCATGATTTACTGATATATTTTTTAAATCGTAAGCAGACTCATATCTGAATCCTCTGAAAGGTAATCCTTGTTTTCCAATTACTTTAACAATATCAATAATTATTTGAGCTACTCTTCTTCTCTTCATCACTTCATTTTCCCTCTGAACCCACTGCACCCTTTCTATTAATTCATCAACACTTTTACCACATTGATCAGCCATGAAACATTTTGACGCTTCTCTATGGTTTTTTGACTCTTCATGATCTTTAATACGCTCATAAACATGAATCCATCTGCTAAATCCACTATCGCTAGTAAAAGCTGATGATTTAGAGCAGTATACTAAACATATTGAACAAAATAAAGAGTTATGTTCATGACTATAGGATAACCAATTTCTTTTGATTTTTGTCTGTGATCCTGGAATAATTTCATAATAAGCTTTAGTTGTATTAAATGGTAAAGGAGAGTCATCCATCATTTTCTCTGGGTGATTTGGATGAAACGAAAAAAAATATTTAATATTTTGTTTACCCTTGGGCTTTAAAAAATAATTAAAATTTGTTTTATCGTCAATCTTTGTATTTAAATTATTTTTGACTAGAAGGTCAATATCTGTGTTATCACATAAATCAATTTTGACTTCAGAATTATTTTTAAAATTACACTACTTGATGTTTGTCTATTACAACAAAAAGAATTTTCTCAATTTTTTTTTTGGATTTTTTTAAATACTATTTAAAAATAATTTTTACTTTTTTCCTAAACACTATTTTTTTTTTAAATTTTAGCTTTGATGCGAAGCTGAGAAAGTACTATTTTACCATGACGTGTTTTTTTTATCTGCCACCTACTTTTCTCAGCTTAGACTTGACCGATTTTGATGAACTATACGTAAAAAGACCACTAATCGTATCTAGTTAAAGACATTCTTCTCTTGTCCAGGAAAAGGGGAAAGTATTCAAAAAAAAAGNTATCTAGTTAAAGACATTCTTCTCGTGTCCCGGAAAAAAAAGATGTGCTATCGTTTTAATATTAACTTCAGCCATAAAAACCAATAGAAAAATAAGTTGCTTTTGTTAAATTATCTGACTTTTCTAAAAATAATATTGATTTTTTTCGCGTTACAGTCATTAAAATTGAGTTTTTATAAACAAATNCAGTCATTAAAATTGAGTTTTTATAATCAAAAAAATTGCTTTTTTCGTGTTACCAAAATTTCAGAAGTTCTCTAATATATGTTTAGAAAGGTAAGAAAACTTTACATAATATGGGTAAATTACAAATGGGGTTCTCCATGAAAACTTTTAAAAACATTTAGTAAAATCGAAAAAACGGAAAAATATCTTATTTTACACATAGCTTAATAAATATTGATTAATGTGGATTTTCTTTTCATTGTAATATATGTGCAGTATAATTTAAATTTTTTATTTGTTGCTAGGCAAGAATGAGTAAACATAATTTTATACGCTATGGTTATAGATTTACGTAATTATTGTATGCACTCCTAATTATAATTAGTATACATGTCATAAAGAGTCGGATCGAGACTTTTCAGCCTACCGAGATTTTAAGTTTCAGCCCTTAACAAAGAGTCAGCCCATACGACAAAAGCTGTTGTACTCATCTCTTATTTTATTTACAACCTAGTCAAAGAAAAAAACATAATTATTCTTTCGTGATCACTTTTTAGTAGAAGAATTCATTATTCGCGATCTGACCTACCCCTCAAGGAATCGTACATTTATTCATATTCCTACTCAATCCATCTCTTATAGTCATAATAATTCGCTATACTGTATGCTTCGTAGTGTCAATCAACGCCATTAAGGTGTGATTCCTATGCACGCGTCTAGAAACGCGCTTTCTAAAGCGTTTTAATTTTTAAAAAACGATTTTAATTTTGGCCGCGCGGTCATTTATTTAGCCGCGCGATCTAATATTGATTCCTATGTACGCGTCAGGAGACGCGCGGCCAACATTACATTATATGTAAATAATAAGGCATGTACACGCATTTGTATCAAGTACTCTGTTTAGTTAAGTTGTACTTGTGTGTTATAAAATTTTATTATTATTATTAGTTTAAAATGTCCTTAACTAAAAAACAAAATTTTATTTTGAAACTACTTCTTTTACAACAAGTAGAAGAAGAACAAGCTATTATAAAATACGTTCTATCAAGAAATAAAAAAGAAGTGCATGAAATGTACTTGGCCAGGGAAACTGAAGGATTTTTTAGTGTCCTTATTGAAAAACATTTATGGCGAGACGAAACCAAATTTAGAGAATTTTTTAGACTAAGCTGGGATCAATTTAATTATATATTGAACCTAGTTGAGGATGACATAAGAACCAACCCTAGCATCAAAATTAGAAAACCGATTACTGCTGCTGAAAAGCTAGCAGTCACGCTCAGGTAATGTAACAAAATATGTTTACTGTTTATATGTTTACAGTATAATTTTGTATAGAGAACATATAGATATTTTTAATAAAATAAAAAACCCAGATCTATAAAAATATTAAACTTTTTGATAAGTAAATACGTATTTCGCGTACATCTTCAGTAAAAAACGTAGACTGAGTCTAGACATAGTTATGTACAGAAGAAACACTCATAGTGAACAAAATATGTATTTACTTATCAAAAATTCAATCATTNCATAGTGAACAAAATACGTATTTACTTATCAAAAATTCAATCATTTTATAGATGTGGGTTATTCATTTTATGTTTATATTATAATTTATATTTTATAGTAAGTACCTATGTACTTAATATTAATTTTTTAATAATGTGTATAAAAACATTTTCATTGGTAATAAACAATGTTGAACTTCTCGTTTAATACAAAATTAACAATGCAAAACATAATATAACAACAAAACATAGGAACTCTTAAAAATGCCAATACATTATAACAAAAATTATTAAAAATAAACATACTTGATAAAATCAAACAGTTTTTAAATTGTAAAGGTATAATAAAACAAACAATTTATAATAACTTTTTCGGACCCCGAATATTATTGCTGTGATAAGATATCTAAAAAAAAAATTCATCTTTTAATAGAATTAATAAAAATAATTTTAACTGTATAATAAACCATAAAATAAAATCAGATACCTACTTAATAAAATAATAAATAAATAATATTTTGCTTATTCGCACTGTCTATCGTCGTATTGAAATGGCTCACAATTTTGTTCACCAAACGGTTGAATCCAACTTCCAGGTTGACGATCAGTAATATCTGGAAAAACGTATTGACTTGGACGATCATATGTTGAAAATCCTGAGTGTGACGATGATTGTAAACTTGAGTTTGGGGATGAATATGAGCTACTTGATGGAATATTTCTATTTTGTGTCGATGAAGTACTGCTATTTTCTATTTCCAAATTTGTAATTATGTTGAACACTTCTTTTTTTGCTTTTATTTTCAAATGTTGAGGAAACGATTTCACTGTTATTGCCATTGTTTTGAAAAATGCATCAATGGGATCTTCTTCTTCCTCAACTTTATTAATAGAATTTAAAATTTGTTGCCTTTCCTCATTACTTCTTTTCAACAATGACACTAACTCTTTATTTTGATTTAATTTTTTAGTAGGTATTTTTTCTTTTGATAATTTTTTTTTTAGCTTCGATGCGAAGCGGAGAAGGTATTAATTTTACTATGATTTTTTTTTTTTTTTTTTTATGTCTGTTGCCACTTTTTCTCAGCTCTCACTGGACCGATTTCTTTCAAAAATACGTCAAAAGATCACAAATCGTATCTAGTTGAAGACATTACCCTTAAAAATTGAAAAAAATTCCCTCGTTCCCCGCAAATGGGGGAAATATCCAAAAAAATTACAAATTTAAAAATCGCTAATTTTTGAAATTTTTTCACTTTTTTTTCTTAAAACTTCCATAACTTTTTGAAAAATCAACAAATCAACATAATTTTTTTTTATACTAAAACCTTAGATATTTATCTTTCATTTTATATTATTTTTTTGAAAATCTATCATTTAACCTGCTCATTAGGGGGGATTTAAAGTAGCAACTTTTTTACAAAAATTAACTTTTTCAACTTAATTTTTGAAAATGTTCCGGAAATACTGCGTCCTTCAAACATATATCAAATTAAAGCTTATTTTATGTTCTACAAAATGAAAAAAAAAAATTTGTCCCGACACTTTTTCTTCTACATTTAAACGGCTGCCGTAGTTAAAAAAACGCTATTTTTGCGTTAAAATTTTAGATTTTCGATTTTTAATTTTCAACTTAAAAATGCTATAACTTTTTGAAAAATGTATGTATCAGCACAATTTTTTTTTTTCTAAATACATTATAAGTACATCTTTCATCTGAAATACATTTTATTAAAATTAGACAATTTCCCCTTATATAGGGGGCGTTCAAAACTTGAAATATTGTAAAAAACATAGATCTTTTTCAACTGAACTTTTGAAAGTGTTCCGGAAATACTGCGTCCTTTAAACATATATAAAATTAAAGCTTATTATATGTACTATAAAATAAAAAAAAAAAATTTGTCCCGACGATCTATCTTCTATGTGCAAATGGCTGTCGAAAATTAAAAAAAAATGTAATGATTGCGATAAAAATTACCTTTTATCGGGATGTTTTTTGTGCTTAAAACTGCCATAACTTTTTCAAAAATTAACAAATAAAAATAATATTTTTTTGTATTAAAACCTTAGATATTTCCCTTTCATTTGATATAATTTTTTTTGGAAATCTACCACTTATTCTGTTCACTGGGGGGATTTAAAATAGTAACTTTTTTACAAAAAATAACTTTTTCAACTTACTACCGTATTCAAAAATATGCTATTTTAACAAATTTTTTTTTAAAATGAAATACTATCTACAGATTTGCATCGAAGCGTTTCTTATGATAGTGATTTAAATCACTGTCAAATATTTTTTTTCAGTATTAAAATTATTTTCAAGTTCAGTATCATGAACTGTAGTGGTTTCTGTTGCAGACATAATTGAAAAATCATTTAAATTACTAGAATTATTTTCATCGTCAACAGTTACTGTTAAGCTATCTTCTTCTTTACTATTTTTTATTTCATTCGTAGAATTAAAATTAGTCAGACCGCTTCAAAATATAATAAAATAATAAAAAATAGTTAGCTATGTGTCATTAATTATTTTCGATTTAATAATAAATAATTAGTACAAATTATAAAATATTAAAATTATTTTTTGGTAAAGTATTTTTAGATTTTATAAAAACTGTGAGAAAAAAATAAATGTAATATTTGCACCCCTAATTATTATTAATATAACTGTATAATAAAACTGTTTTAAGTAAAATGTATTTAATATATTATTACTCACGTTCGTTCGTAAAAACATACGTCCAGAAATGATAATGCATCTGCCAAGACCCATTTTTTTTGTTTATTTTTTGTCGATGATCCCGTCCCTAGTTTCCTACTTCTTTTATTCTTATTATACGTATCTTTCATGTTTTTCCATCTCTTTTTGCAGTCATCAACTGAAATAATAATTAATACCTTTTCATTTAAATATTATAGTTAATAAAACTATATTTAGTCAAATAACGTACATATTTATTGATTTTATATGAAAATTTATATAAAAACAAAAATTAAATATTTCGTTCACTTTAATTGAATTATGTGTACGAAATAATTAATATTATAATATTAATCTATATTATAAACGTACAGCAGTTATTTGCAAACAGTTTTAATTATTTTAATACTACTATGGCGAAAATATCACATTTTTACTACAGTAAATTAAAAAAAAAAAAATTTATTAATAATATATATATTTTTTTAGATATATGGCAACGGGAGAATCGCTCAGGTCATTGTCTTTTTCATTCAGGATTTCTCAAAGTTATATTACACGTGTAATACAATTAGTCTTAAAGAGTTTAAGTACTCGACTAACACCAATCTTATTAAAGCCTCCATTAAAAGAAGATTTAGTACGTATTGCTCATGACTTTTGGAACAAATGGAATTTTCCAAATTGTGTTGGTGCAATAGACGGGAAACACATTCGTATATTTTCTCCAAAGAAAAGTGGAAGCTTATTTTTTAACTACAAGGATTTTTTTTCCATTGTTCTTCTTGCGATTGTGGACGCTAATTGTAAGTTTATATTTGTAGACATTGGGTCCTATGGCAAGGAAGGAGACAGTGGAATTTTCAATAAATCTAGTATCTCTCAAATGATTTCAACCGGTGAATATTTTCCTTCCCCTAAAAAACTACCGAATTCAAATATAACTTTACCGTTGGTACATATTGGCGATGAGGCATTTCGCCTAGACTAACATATGATGCGTCCTTATTCTAGAATTGAGGCAAAAAAAGATAATCAAAAGACCACATTTAATTACAGACTTTCCCGAGCAAGAAGAACTACGGAGAATAGTTTCGGGCTTCTAAGCCAAATTTTCAGAGTGTTCTATACACCAAAACCTCTAAAGACGGAAACGGTTGATAACTTAGTGTTGACTGCATGTTGCCTTCATAATTTACTTCGTGATCGTTACTTGGAGAAAACCAACTACTATTACTATAACTTCGATGATAATAAACCTCAACCAACTGAAAATATGATTTCACTGGCTAGAACAGGGGGATAAGCTAACATTGAAGGTTTTTCGGTAAGAGACAAATTTAAAAATTTTTTTAACAGTCCACAAGGAGCTGTTCCTTGGCAAAATTATCAATCGAATAGATTAGATTAGATGAGATATATATATAAATAATATGAAAATAATATCTATTTAAAATAAATTGTGTTTTTTTCATAATGTAATTTTAAGATAAACAACTAATATTTAGTTTTATAGTAGTTGTATGTAAGTAATTATAACTATAAATAATTAAATACTGGTGCTTACTTTATTTTTCTTGAATGTTGTAAATTGTTTTATTAAACTGTATAAAAAATGTAATTTAATAAAATACAGATACTAATGTTGAGTTTATACACAAAAAAATATCTAGCTAAAATATATAAGTTTATATATTACTATATTACAATAACTATAATACTATATTATGTATACATGCACCTATACATTTAGTTTAATATAATATTACCACTTTTCTTATTCAGGCTATTTGATATAAGCTTCCATACATTATCCCTTATTTGTTGATCTTTGTAGTTGGCATTTTTTAGGTCATACAAACATGGATGTGCCCTTACACATTCAGCCAATTGTATGTCTTCTTCTACTGTGTATAACACTTTAGCATAAGACATTACACGGCACTTACAAAATGTCAAACTTTGAAAATTAAAATATGAATAATAAATTAATAAAATTATAATAATAATATATTAATTACAACTACAATCCACGAGCAGGGAATTTTTGTGGCTGTTTTTCTTGCTTTTATCTATATTTTTACCTATTGGCCGCGCGGCTTGTGTGATTTGACTGCTCTCGAAGCGGTTGTCGTCGCGCGGCGCCAGACGCGGTCATAGGAATTGGTTATATTTAAAAACAAATAAAGTAGTACCTGCGCGGCTAAAATTAAATCGCGCCGCGTCGGTCGCGCGTCTATAAACGCGTGCATAGGAATCACACCTTTAGCACATTTTTACTAGCACCCCTCTGTTATTTATCACTAATTACTTTATTATTATATATTTAATCTTTAATTAATTAAATCACTTAGTTGTAAACATTATGTAAATTGCTGTTTGGCGCGAATAAATTAAATAAAATAATAATTGTTTCACTTAGACATAATTATAAATAATTTCTCGGTAGCTCCCTGGCTCAATTCAGACATGGTGTCATACGTGTCATTTAATGTTTTACAAACAACAATGTTAATGTTTAATATATTTTTTTACTCATAAATTATAGTATAATGTATATTAGTATAATTTTTAAGTACTCACCAAACAATAAAGCAGTTACCAAAACTCATAAGACGCAATAACGATAGTTACCATTGACGAGCAAAATGAAAATGATCAAGATTTCAAATAAAAAACAAACAAAAATATTTTTTTGAAATCATTAATAAATATAAAATCATTATAAAAGAATATCGCAAATTAAGAAATATCGATATGCTATTTATTGATTTTTATGATACAATACAGACGATGGGCAACACACGGATCGGTCGTTAATTTTTATCATAATAATCGTAAATATAATCAATTCGGACACATCAGCCGTCAAACACGTTCTGACGACTTCCGCGAATTAAAAGCAGACGACATATTTGATAATCAGATATTTTTATCGATTTACATAAATAAATCTGATAATTTTATGCTCTTAAAATAGTATTTAACTTATCCAAAATGCAAGAGGACTCATAAGACCTTCGGGTCATTCCAACATGTCCGTGAGGACTAAGTGGCGGTATTAAGATGTGCGAGCTGTGTGGTCGAGCAGAGTAGTCATCAGTGACACGGCACTACATACAATTTTTGATAACTTTTTTTTTTTTGCTTGTCAGGAAAGAAATTGGGGATTTTTGTAAAAAAAAAATTATTAAAATTTAGGCAGTTGGCTTTTACTAACTGATTTGCCGTAGTATCAAGGGGCCCATATACCATAATTTTTAGGGGGCCCATCGGGATTTTCCCGGTATCCCGGTGGGCCAGTCCGCGCCTGGTTATAGCATTATAAAGTTAAAAATGTAAAATATTTTCACACAAAAATAGAATACGGTAGCCATTATCACCGTGAAGACAATATTAAGTCAGAAGTTTTTTTTCCATGAAAAAATTTATTATATTAGCTTTAGAAAGAAGAAATATATAACCACAGCAGTGACAACAGCTATCGTCAGCCGGCCGTCGGACGGGTACGTGGACTGGGTGCTGGTGGCTCCAGCACCAGCAACGACATCAGCCAACACCGCACAGGAGGAGGAGCCGGAGACGCCGATGGAATTGGAGAACGACGGCCTGGTACGGGAGATGGACCTGTTCCTCTCCTATCCCACCTCCTCAGCACAGCCGGAGCCCCCCCATCCCAAGTGCGTTATGCGCGGGGACTAGATCCCTACCCGTTCCCTACTACGCGCACTCCGCGTCCCATAACCACCCTCTTCATCAATCACACAACGTAAGTATTGCGGCTTGTTATTGCGTTATACGACTTTAATAAATTTGACTTAAGCACCATACGCCATATGCACAATTTCAGTCGTCCTTTAAAGTACAGCGGCGGCTTGGTGGGGGGGTATTTGACACGACCACGGTGTTGTCACCCGTTTGACACCCCGCGGTCGTATCAGCTCCTTCTCAGCCACCGCTCAACCATCCGGCTCAAACCGGACCGTTACACACACGCGTTATCGTCGTGGTGTAAAGTCTAACAAATGCCTAGTGTCGAATACCCTGCCGCAAAAATACGTCCAGTCAGTCATCTTCGTGACACCTATCACATTGGATTCACCGTCCGCTGAACCAACCAAATCGCCACCGCAAATTCGGTTATCTTTTATTATTCTGTCGACGGTTTCTTAGAAGTATTACTGTTATTTTTTTGGTTCGGCTATAATTTTTCTCGTGTTACAATTCTTGTTTTTATTTTTCTTATTAAACGGCTCGATGCCAAGTAGAAAATCTACCAGTGTTACTTACTTTATTCCTCATCAACTGTTTCCGTATCAAAGTGTCAGACTTTTCGGAACACTTTCAAAAGTTACTTTTTTGTAAAAAAGTTGTCATTTGGAATCCCCCCCTGTAGGCAGGTAAAGGGTCAGATTTATAAAAAAAAATATACCAAATAAAAAGTAAAAAAATCATGCATCTATACAAAAAATTATATTGATTTAATCATTTTTGAAAAAGTTTAGCAGTTTTTGTTGGATACGCATTATGAGAGGGCGTTTTGCTACATCTTATTTTTATGACTGATAACGTCTCTCGCACTACCACCACCGGTTGTGGGAGCCATTCATTACGTTGAATGCTTATGTGAGTGATTCTTGTGGCTCACCTATTTATTTATCGGTCCTTGTGTGACATTTTTTTGCGTTTTCGCTGCCATCTTAATTCGTTTTGTTGTATGGCTCTACTGTACTTGCGAGTACATAGTTGTTAAAACGCTTTTATATCGCCCTTGCGATACGCTCATACTTTTCGCGACAGTACATTTTGTCTGGTTCAATGATCATGCCAACGATTTCATTCGCATCAACCAGTCATCATCAGTATACAGGGTGGCCCACCACTCACTGACAACTTAAATAACTTTTGATCCAGATAATATTTTTAGTTGATTTTTTTTTTAAATAATAGTTATACGTTAGGTCTATAGCTATATCTCAATAATTAATTTTTTTACATTTTATTAAAAATATTAATTATTTTTAAATTTTAAATAAAATGTAAAAAAAAAATCTAAGATAGCTATTTTGTAGAGTAGAATTTAAGAAAAATTTTAGTAAAAAAATATCTTATTAATATTCAGTAGTAAATATTCTGTAGCGTTTTGAAGTTTGTGAAAATTTGAATTTTCATGTACTATTTTACGGTATTAAACATTGAAATACGTATTGAGAAAAGGACAGAAGAAAACGCTATCTTTTCATGATTACTGTGTATACATATGATGATAGTGTGTATACATTACAAACTTGGCATAAATACCATGATAAGAAATTAGATAAGGCAATTATTACTTATCACTCTCATTCAAAAGTATATTGAAAAGATAGCGTTTTCTTCTGTCCTTTTCTCAATACGTATTTCAATGTTTAATACCGTAAAATAGTACATGAAAATTCAAATTTTCACAAACTTCAAAACGCTACAGAATATTTACTACTGAATATTAATAAGATATTTTTTTACTAAAATTTTTCTTAAATTCTACTCTACAAAATAGCTATCTTAGATTTTTTTTTTACATTTTATTTAAAATTTAAAAATAATTAATATTTTTAATAAAATGTAAAAAAATTAATTATTGAGATATAGCTATAGACCTAACGTATAACTATTATTTAAAAAAAAAAATCAGCTAAAAATATTAACTGGATCAAAAGTTATTTAAGTTGTCAGTGAGTGGTGGGCCACCCTGTAGATAAGTAGTTATTGATTATATTGTTTTGTTTTATTTTTATCTTATTATTTGTTTTATTTGACGCATTGTTGCATTAACATTAAGGGCCCCCTACCCACATTGATATATATATATAATATTTTAGTTTATATTAAAAATACAGTTCATTGTTTTATATGTCTTTCAATACATTTACTCATTTATACAGTCCACTCCCTACTTCTTTATCCTGCATGATATAGATACTCCAGAAACGAACAGTAACTAACCCGCACATCATTACCAGACGTTCTGTTCAAACAGTTTTAAACAAAAAATATAAAAAAGATTTCAAAAATTAAAGATTTCTAAATTTGTAATTTTTTTGGAGATTTCCCCCATTTACGGCGAACGAGGGAAATTTTTTCAATTTTTAAAAGTGAAGTCTTCGATTAGATATGATTTGTGATCTTTTGACGTATCGTTGAAAAAAATCGGTTCGGTGAGAGCTGAGAAAAAGTGGTTACAGACACACACAAAAAAAAAAATATATATACATCATACACCCAAAGAAAAACCTCAATCAATTTTGATAGAGAAATTTTATCAAGGGTTTATGATAATGTTTTATTAATACGAACAAAATAATTATTCTTATGAATAATTATTGTTCAAGACAAGAAAAAAATCATCATATTGATAAATATATCATAGATTCAATAGTAATGATATATATATCAAATTGAACAATGAATTTATTAAATAGATCGAGGTTTTTCTCTGGGTGTAGTAAAATTAATACCTTCTCAGCTTCTCATTGAAGCTAAAAAAAAAAAAAATTACTTCTGGTCTTGTTTTGTGGTCAAAGTTTGAAATTATAATGTTTTGTTTAATAAATTTATTTAATTAAAAGGATTTTAATTTAAAATTACATATAAGGTAAATATGTTTGTCTAATAGGCAAGTATAAGGGTCAAATTTTTCTATTGTTATAAATGACCGTCCATTCGATCGATCGTTCGCTATCGGATGGTTCCTATCATCCGTCGTGAACGAACGTTTTTTATTGTTCTAAACAATCGTCCGTTCGATGTTTTATACGTTCCGAACGTGTTTATGAACAACGTTTGCCATTGTAATAAACAAAAAAAAGAAAGGTAGAAAGGCAAGATAGAAAGCACAGGATAGAAAGTGGGGGAAAAGAATGGTAAGAATGGAGTCGTATCTTGGGGTTGAACTTTAAGTATGTCGAATGAAAAAGGGATTATTAAAAAATATTATTTCTCATAAAAAAATTGTGTTGATTCATACACTTTTCAA